CTCACTAGAATGAGTTAAATGAAAAGCCTGAAAATACCCAGGGTTTGGGGGATGCATAGAAATTGAAACTCTCATACACTGGTGATGGAAATTTTAAATGATACAACCACTTTGGAAAACCAGTTTGACAGCTTCTTACAAATTTAAATGTATACTAACTATATGAACCAGCAATTCTATTCCTAGGTATTATCCAAAAGAAATGAAAACATATGTCTCTGCAAAACTTATACAAGCATGTTCATGGCAGCTTTATTCATATAGGTCAAAAATGGGGAAAAAAATAAATGTCAGATGAATGGAAAAACCCAAAAAAGAATGAACTACAATTACACATAAAAACATTATTTGGATGAATTTCAAAAACATTATACTGAGGAAAGGAAGCCATACAGAAAAGACTATATGCTCCAAACTGCATTTATATGAAATTTTAAAACAGGCAAAACTTATCTAAGGAAGTGGTTCTCACTTGGGGAATTCTGCCCTCCCCTTCCTCAGATGGTGCTGGTGACATTTCTTGATTGTCACAACTTGGGGAATGGGGGCTGGGTGGTTGCCTTTGTTATGTAGTGGACACAGAGGCCAGCAATGCTGTTAAACATTCTAGAATGTCAGGACATTAACACAACAAAGAATTATCAGGCCCAAAATTCCAATAGTGCCTAGGCCCAGGTTGGAAAATTGTTGTCTACTGTGGTCAGTGATGGTCTTGGGATACTGAATGCAAATGAAAATGAAGGGGACAATAAAATGGGGACAATAAAAATGTTCTATATTTAATTTGTAGTAGTAATTTGTTTTCCAAAATTCACCACACTATACACTTCAAATGGGCACATTTTACTGTATGCAATTTTACCTCAAAGTTGATGGTATAATTATAGCCTATCAAATAATATAAAGCTACAAAAACAGTTTAATCCAATTTTTGCTTTTAAACATATATGCATAGAAAAAACAGAAAAGGCAAGTACTATTGGTTGGATTATGGATAACTGTGATTTTTTTTTCCCCTACTGCTCATCTGTTTTGTATTCACTTGAAAGTATATTATATTATGTAATAATGTACTTTTGAGTTATACCCAAAACAGGTCCAAATAAACTATGGAAGGGCACAACTACACATGAATATTTGATTATAGCTAAACTCTGATTTATGATCACAGGACTGAAGTTATTTCAAGAAACTATAAAAATGTATAATGAAAAGGCATTTAGAAGTCAATTTTTATTTTAAAACACAGCTATATTTAGAGCGTAAATTATAAATATAACTATTTCTGTACAGAAAAGTATTTAAGGGAAATTTTCACTATTAACAGTGATACCACACCATAATAAGGTAGGCTGAAAAGATTAATAAATTATTTTAAATTAAATAAAATAATGTTATAAAGGAATAACTTATTTCATTATATCCATACAGTAGAAAAACATAACAGATACAATTCAGTTGTTTAACAACAGGCCAGGGACTATACAGACTGTAATAAAAAGATGTCCATCAAGAAGCTGACTATCTAATGGAGAGAAATGATACTGTTAATAAATCAAATAAAAAGAGTTAAAGGCTATGGTTGAGGTTTGAAAGTAGTACAATGAAAGAATCAAACAACTAAGTCTTGGTAGTTTGGGAAGTATTTACAAAGATGACAGTTGAGCTGGGTCTTGAGGAAGTAGTAAGAGCTTATCAGGTGAAAATCATTATTAGACACTTCAAAAATCTTAAAACAAACAAACAAAAGCCAACTGACTAACAGTTTTGTTACACTGCTCTTTTGTTACATTTTATAGTCTTAAAGGTCAGAAACAGAAAAACCAGTTTCAGGAAAAGGAAGATAATCTTGCAATACTGAGCAAGGAAGTTACCCCTGCTGAGAAAATTCCATATTCAAGACAGAAGACTGCTTTGGATTTATCTGGATGGAAAAAGGCACTCTTTGAAGTTTAACTACATCTAAGTTATATCTAAGTTAGGCAACTATGGTGTTGGAGAAGATTCTTGAGAGTCCCTTAGACTGCAAGGAGATCCAACCAGTCCATCCTAAAGGAAATCAGTCCTCAATATTCATTGGAAGGACTGATGTTGAAGCTGAAGTTCCAGTACTTTGGCCACCTGATGCAAAGAACTGACTCATTGGAAAAGCTCCTGATGTTGGGAAAGATTGAAGGCGGGAGGAGAAGGGGACGACAGAGGATGAGATGGTTGGATGGCAGCACCAACTCAATGGACATGGATTTGAGCAAGCTCCAGGAGTTGGTGATGGACAGGGAGGTCTGGCAGGCTGCCGTCCATGGTTTCACAAAGAATCAGACACGACTGAGGGATGCCAGCAAATATGGAAAACTCAGCAATGGCCACAGGACTGGAAAAAGTCAGTTTTCATTCCAATCCCAAAGAAAGGCAATCCCAAAGAATGCTCAAACTACCGCACAATTGCACTCATCTCACACGCTAGTAAAGTAATACTCAAAATTCTCCAAGCCAGGCTTCAGCAATACATGAACCGTGAAATTCCAGATGTTCAAGCTGGTTTTAGAAAAGGCAGAGAAACCAGAGATCAAATTGCCAACATCCGCTGGATCATGGAAAACGCAAGAGACTTCCAGAAAAACATCTATTTCTGCTTTATTGACTATGCCAAAGCCTTTGACTGTGTGGATCACAACAAACTGTGGGAAATTCTGAAAGAGATGGGATACCAGACCACCTGACCTGCCTCTTGAGAAACCTGTATGCAGGTCAGGAAGCAACAGTTAGAACTGGACATGGGACAACAGATTGTTTCCAAATAGGAAAAGGAGTATGTCAGGGCTGTATATTGTCACCCTGTTTATTTAACTTATATGCACAGTACATCATGAGAAATGCTGGGCTGGAAGAAGCACAAGCTAGAATCAAGATTGCCGGGAGAAATATCAATAACCTCAGATATGCAGATGACACCACTCTTATGGCAGAAAGTGAAGAGAAACTAAAAAGCCTCTTGATGAAAGTGAAAGAGGAGAGTGAAAAAGTTGGCTTAAAGCTCAACATTCAGAAAACTAAGATCATGGCATCTGGTCCCATCACTTCATGGCAAATAGATGGGGAAACAGTGGAATCAGTGTCAGACTTTATTTTCTGGGCTCCAAAATCCCTGCTGATGGTGATTGCAGCCATGAAATTAAAAGAGGCTTACTCCTTGGAAGGACAGTTATGGCCAACCTAGATAGCATATTAAAAAGCAGAGACATTACTTTGCCAACAAAGGTCCGTCTAGTCAAGGCTATGGTTTTTCCAGTGGTCATGTATGGACGTGAGAGTTGCACTATAAAGAAAGCTGAGCGCTGAAGAATTGATGCTTTTGAACTGTGGTGTTGGAGAAGACTCTTGAGAGTCCCTTGGACTGCAAGGAGATCCAACCAGTCCATTCTAAAGGAGATGAGTCCTGGGTGTTCATTGGAAGGACTGATGCTGAAGCTGAAACTCCCAATACTTTTGGCCACCTTATGGGAAGAGTTGACTCACTGGAAAAGACCCTGATGCTGGGTGGGGTTGGGGGCAGGAGGAGAAGGGGACAACAGAGGATGAGATGGCTGGACAGCATCACTGACTCGATGGACATGATTTTGAGTAAACTACGGGAGTTGGTGATGGACAGGGAGGCCTGGCGTGCTGTAATTCATGGGGTCACAAAGAGTCAGACACAACTGAACAACTGAACTGAAGTGAGGGACTGAAGTTAGGCGATCTCAGTCTCTGTCACCACTTAAAAGTACTAACAAAAAACCATCAGTTTGGCTACAATTTTAAGTCACATATTTTAACATGTGTGAGCAAGTTTCAGCTGGCCTCACATAACACATTGAAAACCTCATACTGTTAGTAAGGGAAAATCTAAGATGCCTCTTAAGAAGGATAGATACTGGGACTCCAATATGCATCCTTAGCAGTACCTTTTTTTTTTTTTTAAATGGGCTATGGATTGGGATAATTTAGTGTAATTATATAAGTGTTCCAGCAGAGAAAATGTCTGAGTCTATATTTTAAAATGTAAGAATCTTCTGAATTAAGGACATGTGCTAAGTCGCAGTAGTGTCCAACTCTTTGCCACCCCATGGACTGTAGCCTGCCAGGCCCCTCTGTCCATGGGATTCTCCAAGCAAGGATACTGGAGTGGATTGCCATGCCCTTTTCCAGGGTTGGCAGTATGTTTTAAAGACACAAGAAATGCTTATAAATATATGATGAATGAGGTAAACGACCACTCTATACGGTTAACAATGATTACAACGAGGCAGAAAAGTTAATTCCTAAACTTACCAAGAAAAAAGCCTACAAGGTTCTGAGACCAGGAGGTAACACTGCAGGGAGAACCTGCCTACTCTGCTCCTTAGACTTCCTATAATTCTGGACACCCACTGAAATTAAGGAACCGAAAGTGAATGAAACTGAGTTTATTTAAACTGAACAAATTTTATGCAGTAGAAGATGCAACTTTTGAGTAATCAACTCAACACAAAGACAACGGGTCTTCAAGTGGATCCGGCTTCGGGGAGAGAGCAACATATCCTATTCTTTACTCTCTTGACTTGGAGTCAAATAATTACTGGGAACAACTTAAGGAACACTGTTTCCAGGTAGTGGCGGTTCAGGAGACGGAAGAGAATGGAAAAACGATTAAAGCGATAAACCAAGGTTGCAAGGGAGTCTTCTGGAGTGATGTAGTAGCCAGTGAACTAGAAACTCTGGATATTTAATAGATATCGACACCAATAGTGGAACCAGGAGCTGGTGCAAGTCCAGCCAAGGGCTGGAGGCAGGCAGCGAGAGAACAGTTGCTGTCAGATGCTTTGGCCTCCATGGCAAAAGATAACCGCTCGACCCCCGCCCCAACCCTTTAGCTGAAATGCTCCCAGTACTCAGCACCGGCCCACAAGCACCCCCTCCCCACAATAACCCCCCACAACCCCAAAAGCCCAGCCGGAGGGACAGCGCCGCCGTTCACTTACTGAGCTGTCCCCCACCCGACGTCGTACTCGGCTCCCGACCTCCTGCGCCTCCAAGGCCGGTCGCCCCGGGGACCCCCGGCGCCCCCGTCCCCGGCGGGGTCCCGCTCTGCCTCTCGAAGTTGCCAGGGTTGGAGAAGTAGTCGCGCAGCCGAGGGAGCTCGCGCCCGCTCTCTAACAGCTCGGTGTGCAGCTCCAAGGCGGTCAGCAGGTACTGATCGCGCAGCAGCTGGGCCGCGATCGCATCAATTGACAGGCGGGCCGGGGTCTCCCCAGGGCCCCCTAGGGTCGCCGCCGCCGCCTCCCCGGGGAGCCCAGCTCGGGCACTGCCCCCCAAGGCCACGGGGTCCTGAGGCGACAGCGAGTCCGCAGAGCCCGGATCTAGGCCGCCCCCGGCACTCAGCCGAAGTCCTGCCCGCCTCTCGTCGGTCGCCGAGACCTCGTCCTCGTCCTCGTCCGAATCGCTGAGGAAAGGGTTCACGCCGCCGCCGCCACCTCCAGGCGCCATCGCCGCCATCTTACACTGTCAGGAGTGTGGGCGCCTCCCTGTCTGGCTCTGACAGGCCGCGGCCTGAGTCCCCGGTCAGCCTCCGCAGGCACCGCTCGCTTCCGCAGACCCGGCCTTGCCACGTCCCGCCTCCTCACCTGGAGACCAGGCGCAGGCTCGGAAGCGAACCGTCCGGAGGCTTGCAGCGGTAGCAGCAGCCACTGCCTCAGCCGCAGCTGCACCAGCAGCCCGGCTCTGCGGGCGTCTTCCTGGTACCCGGTCTCGCGAGAAATGGTGCGTGCCCTGCCCCTCTCCCGCCCCGCCCCGCCCCGCCTGCTCTCCAAGCTTGTGAGCAGAGACTGAGGGGCCCCGCCCCCTCCTCAAAGGCAAAGCCCCACCCTATTCCTTTTTGATTGGTAGCAGGAGGTAGGGGCGGGGATTGGAGTCTCGGAGGACTGACCCGGGAATTATCGCGAGAGTAGCTTCTGGCCAGGTAAGTGTCAGGGTCGTTTCGTGGTTGGTGGACGTTTGTGACGGTGGCTTAGGAAGCTTCTCTTCTGGGCCGGAGGGGAGCTCTGACTCGCAGGAGGGCCCCCGCCTTCGCGCTGACGAAACCTCGTTCCCGAGGTCAGCCAGACCTGCTCAAGCCCAGGTAGAGTCCGGGAGAAGTGGGGGCAGAGGCCGGCCCGACAATGGCACTAGCCGGGGTGCGCCGCCCCCTCTTCCTTCGCTCCTGCGGTGTGCGCTGCACGTTGCTGACGTTTTCCCCGCGGGTGTGGCCGGTGCCGGGCAGGGCCGGTGATCAGAAGGGGGCTTGCTTCCTCTTTCTCGCCTTCCCAGCCTCGTGCCTGCGGGACCCGGGGGGCTGGGTGCGGCACAGGGACAGAGCCAATGGAACATGCAGCGGGGACGTTGGGATCTGCTTGGATCTGCGAATATCCCGATAGTCTCGACTTTGGTAACAAACTATTAGGAGCGCAGTAAGCACTTGTGATTTAATACACAGCTTGCACAATGGGGACGCTTCAAAACGTCCCTTGCAGAGCAAGGAGATCCAGCCAGTCCATCCTAAAGGAAATCAGTCCTGAATATTCATTGGTAGGACTGATACAGAAGCTGAAACTCCAATACTTTGGCCACCTGATGCAAAGAGCTGACTCATTGGAGAAGACCCTGATGCTGGGAGGGATTGGGGGCAGGAGGAGAAGGGGACGACATAGATGAGATGGCTGGATGGTATCACCAACTCAATTGACATGAGTTTGAGCAAGCTCCGCGAGTTGGTGATGGACAGGGAAGCCTGGCATGAGGCAGTCCATGGGGTCGCAAAGAGTCAGACACGACTGAGCCACTGAACTGAACTTGGGATATTTGTTTTGTTTTCGGTAGAAGTTTTTTTTTAATGCTATTAATACTAAGAATTGTAAGCATTTTTTTTTAACAGAACATTAGCTCCTAGTGTTTAATTCTAAATTTGTGTGTGTGTGTGTGTGCGCGCTCGTGCCGTGTATTGAAGAAAAGCATGGAAAAAAAATCCCAGATCTTAGGAAAATAGTATCAAAAGAGACACCAGTGTTGTTTCATAGTCCTTAGCCAAAAGGATTGCTGATCTTTATTGTAATTGAGTTGCCAGAGAGATTGAAGATGGAGCCATTTTCTGGAATGGAAAAATGGGAAGGATTAGGGAATGGCATGGAAAAGGCATGTTTAGAAATGGGTTATTTATATGCAGTATTTCGGCCTGTCTAATGGGAATTTTACACATCTGTTGTACTTAAGGTCCCCACACTTAGGGTCTTCCTCTCAAGGACTGTGCTTATTAGGTTGAAGAGCCTACAGTTCATATCCCCGTCCTGCCAATGATTTGCCTTGAGACTTCTAAAAAGTTACTTGACTCCTCTCAGCCTCCCCTGTCAAGGAGATACTTAAAGTACACAGATTTAGGAATGTGCTTGTCACAGTCCCTGGTACCTAGTACACAACAAATGTTATAATCATTTATCAATTAATGTACTACTTGTATATCTTGAGAATATTTGACAGATTTTTAAAAAGTAAAGTGAAACAAACCTGATGTCAGTCATTTAGTAGCGTTAGCCAGAAAAAGCAATTAAGGTAGTAGGCCCCAAAGGGAATGTCTTTAGGGTCTGATTTCTAAAATGGAAATTGAAAATAGATTTAAAATATGTTTCCTCAGAGAGTTGTAAGAAGTTGGATATAGAAGTTCTTCCTTGATCAGCAGCTTCCTATGACACATCTGTAATTCCCTGGTTCTACCTCATATCCTGTAATCATGGACTTGTTAATGTGACCTTCCAAGCCCCTAACAAATCAACTGGCCAGTCGTCTCAGTAAGTACCTTTCTCTTCTACAGTGCATAGAGATTTCCTTATCAGTTAAAAATGTTGAAGAAATATTAATAGTGCATACTAGGATATTATTAACAATTGCTGATTTATATTTAATAATAATTTGCCATTAATATTGTTGAGGAATTTTCCTTCTACTTACCAAGGCTTGCATTAATCTAGGTCTTTACAGCCAATGTTTCACTGAATAATATGGATAGTCATTGATGCTTGTATGTTAGTGATAAAAATATAAAAGATCACTTTTTTCCAAGCACTTCAATTGTTTTCTTGATTAAAAAATTATTTTTTTTGTTTTAGTACCTTAAAATAACCACAAGTAATATTTTCAGTGCAGGTTTTTCATTGATGTAAAGTTTTATAAATATGTAATTTTTTTTACATTTTTATTCTAATTTTTGACATTGTTTTTCAGTGTGTGGTAAACATCCCAGAAGTATAAGTTAAATGACTTTTATTGATACATGGTTATGTGTATTTTAAACATTTTAGTAATTATTCATTTTTTTAGGTGATTTCCAAATGATTCATCTGTGAAAAAGTTTTCTTTTTCACTAAATCTTAATAAAAAGTGATTTTTAAAAAAGAGAAATATTAAATGATAATAGTGCTTAATTATATGTGCATAGCTATAATAAAGTAAGTAGCATGTGAACGATGATATTTTGGAATCACTGAAATTTTATGTATGCCGCCGCTGCTGCTGCTAAGTCGCTTCAGTCGTGTCCGACTCTGTGCGACCCCATAGATGGCAGCCCATCAGGCTCCGCCGTCCCTGGGATTCTCCAGGCAAGAACACTGGACTAAATGACAAATATGAAAGTTACTGTGGTTGTATTTGTCTTGAATCTTCACTACTCTTGTGTCTGTTCTGGGGTAATAAATAAGGAAGCAAGGCAGCCTCTAGTGGCTACAGTGCATATCACACATACCATTGAAAGGATAATCCTAGGTTATTTAATAGCCCTAAGTGCCCAGGACTGGGCAGAGTACTGGAGAAAGCCTGTCTTGCTGTCCTGGAATCAGCATGAAGTTACAGAGGCAGACATTACCACAGATAGTCAGAGTCATAGCTGTGTAGTTATAAACTGAAGTAAAGGGTTGAGCTTCTGGTTTGGACTGAGTAGTCCCTGAGGAAGTGATGCTCGAAAGTGCCGGGGAGGGGCCGACTAAGATCCCACTGCCACTGTGTGAGAGAGCTAGATTTTTGTGTTAGCTATTACAGCTTCAGGGTCGAAGTTCTCCAATGTTTGTTTTACTGCTTCAGTAAGCTTTAGGGTAGTGGAAAATATGTATTATCCTTTAACACACTTTGATACTTTTTACAGAAAAGTTGTGTAACAACAGTGGGAAAAGAAAGAACATAAGTCCAGGGAGTTATTTGTAAATGCAAAATAAAGTGAGAAATGATAAAGATATTTCCTTATTAGTGAACATGATAAGGAGGGTACTCAGGTTTCCATGTTGGAGAGGAGTATTTAAGTCAATGGGAGCTTCTCTACATCTAGGTAGATACCATATGTACTTTAGTTGTAAATACAGTTTAAGATCTTACTGAAATGAATGAAAATGAGTTGAAAAATGAGTTACTTTGCATAACTAAATATGATACCTGATAGAAGAGTTCTGAGCTAGAGAATAGAAGAAAGAATAAGTGAACAGAATATTATGGACAGTTTTGTCATAATAAATTTGACAATTTGGATGAAATGGACAAATGGACAAAAGATACAAGTACCAAAACTTACTCAGCAAGTAGTAAATAATCTTAGTATCTATCTCTCTGGATATGAAGAAATTGAATTTATAGTTAAAAACCTTCCAACAAAGGAAATTCTGAGCCATTGATATCCAGTTACACAATAAAGGAAGAAATAGTACTAATTCTCCACAAACTATTCCAAAAAATAAAAGGTAATAACACTTCCTAATGCATTGTCTGACACCAAAACCAGAGAAAGACATTACAAAAAAAAATTATAGTCTAATATCGCTAATAAATATTAATTTAAAATGCTAAATATTTTAGCAAATAAAATCCAAGAGTATATAGGAACGATAATACTTAATGGTTAAGTTCAGTTTATTCTGGGAACTCTATCTTGATTTAACATTTGAAACTCCATCATGTAGTTCACCACATTAGGAGACACCACATTAGGAGATCCCACACCAGAAGGCCCCACACCAGGAGATCCCACACCAGGAGTCCCCACACCAGGAGATCCCACACTGGGAGAGGCCCCACACCAGGAGATCCCACACCAGGAGATCCCACACCAGGAGAGGCCCCACACCAGGAGATCCCACACCAGAAGTCCCCACACCAGGAGAGGCCCCACACCAGGAGAGGCCCCACACCAGGAGAGATCAAAAGAGAAAAGCCAGATGGCCGTGGCCCTCTCACTGGACAGGATCTCACGTGATCCGCCCCTCTCACTTTTGCTTTTGTCAGAAGCATTTGACAGAATCTGGCATTTTTTATTCACAGCTTTAAAACTGCCTATTGAGAGTAAAAGAGAACTTCTTAAATGCAACAAAAGGAGTCTATGAAAAACAACCTGACAACTTTCACCCTGAGACTGGAAACACGGCAGGATTTCTGTTGTTTCCACACCTACTCAACATTACACTAGAAGTCCTGGCCAGTACAAGCATGAGACATAAATAAAAAGTGTACAGATTGATAAGGAAGAAGTCCTTTTATTCACAGGTGACATAATTTTTCTCCTTGGAAAATCAAAAGGCATCTACATAAAAACTACTATAACAGTTTTTCAGTGTTGCAGAATGCAAGGTGAATATATAAAAATCAGTGGTAATTTAAAAACTAACGAGGGGAAACTGAAATAAATGCCATTTACAATAACATCAAAAAGTGAAATATATAGGGATGAGCCACAGGGGCATGAGGAAACTTTTGAGGGTTATGAGTATGTTCACTCTCCTGTGATTATTATGTACTTAAATATGTACACAGCTTATTACAGGCCAGTTATGCCTTAATAAAGCTATAAGAATGCTGTGAAGAACATTACTGGGACACTTCAAAAAGTTGGAGTATAAATGGTAGATTAGGTAAAATACTGACGTTGAGTTTATTGAAGTTGGTAACCACCATAGGTACCTAAGGAAGTATCATCATTGTCAGAAAGTAAACACTGAAGTATACACCCGCCTCCCCCCCCCCCCCACCCCCCAACACACACACACTCACACACAAGAGGGGTAAGTTAAAGGGACGAGTCAAGGACCAGAGAAAAATGATAATGTTAAAGATATATGGCTAAGGGGTGTATGGATGTTTGTACCATTACTGCAGCTTTTCTCTGAACTTGAAATTGTTTTAAAGTAAAGATATTAAAAGTCTGTACTGAAGAAAGTGTTGTTGTTTACAAAAATTCCCTAGGTGGAACACAAAATACAATTGCCAAAAGAAAAGTTAATTATTTGAACTTTCAGAATTTTTAAGTACTGCTCTTTGAAAAACATGGTTAAAAAATGAAAGGGGATAAAAGAGGATTAAAAAATGTCCGTTACATGCATGTAAAGTAGCTCAACATTATTGATCATCAGGGAAATGTAAATTAAAACCACAATAAGTTAACAGACTATACAAAATTGAACAGATTACAATACCAAGTTTTGGCCAATGTAATGGTTATGGCGTTGAGGATATAATGCTCAGTGAAACAAGTCAGTCACAGGAGGACAAATGTGCACATTTCTCCTTGTCTGAGATAATCCAGAAGAGTCAAACTCATGATGGGTGGGGGTGGGGGGGTGATGAAAGTGGTTGTCCAATGGCTGTAAAATCTCACTTATGCAAAGTGAGTAAGTTGTAGAGATATGATGTATAACAGTGCCTATAGTTTGAAATACTGTATTTTACATGTAAAAATTTAAGAGGGTAGCACTTAAGTTAAGAACTCTAGCCTCTCTTTTTAAGTCACTCAGTCGTGTCCAACTCTTCATGACCCCATGGACTAGAGCCCGCCAGGCTCCTCTGTCCGTAGAATTCTCCAGGCCAGAATACTAGTGTGGGTTGCCATTCCACATCTCCAGGGGATCTTCCCAAGCCAGGGACCAAACCCCGGTCTCCGCTTTGCCAGCGTATTCTTTACGGTTTGAGCCGCTAGGGAACCCTCTTACCACAGCTTGAAAACAGTTACCCATGCGGATGAGGCAAGTAGCTACAGACAATGAAGCTTATGGAGAGGTGGAGGAAATGAAAGTGTCCACCAAACTAAGAAGTTTTCTGAGACTGAAAAATGAGGCAGGCAGCTCTAGTCATCAAATAAGTTGAAAGCATATTTGTTTGCACTAAGGCTTACCCAGATTTAATTTTCTCCCTCTTTCCAGTTTCCCTTGGAGATTAGCTCCTCTGGATATGCTGCTGTACATTACTTTGGGCTTGCTCGTGCACTTCGTGTTCTTCGCCTCCATCTTCGACATTTATTTTACCTCTCCTTTGGTTCATGGAATGACTCCTCAGTTTACACCCCTGCCTCCCCCAGCAAAACGATTAGTGCTGTTTGTCGCTGATGGCCTGCGAGCAGATAAACTTTTTGAATTAGATGAAGATGGAAATTCTAGGGCACCATTTATTAGGTAAGCATGTCACGGGGTACAAAGACATCTCTGGAAATTGTTACACTGATACTGTTTATCTCACATTGGGTAGAGGGGTGATGATGAAAAAGAGAGTAGGGCATGTATGCCTCTGCCTTTGTCATAGAAATTAGCAAGTGTGTTTCCTTCTACAGTTACTTCTGTTATTGTGGAAGTTGATACCAGGTAGTCGAAATGCATGACCTTAGCTGCTTGGTCTTACTTGTCCTAATTTCTGAATCCTGGCTTACAACTCAGTATATTATCTTTTTTTCTGTTTTGTAAAGTAAGACTATTCAATTTTTAAGTAATGACAAGCATAAATTTCAGTGAATTACCAATTACAAAGGTATTTGGCTAAAAAATATAAATTTCTATTCAAAATACGTTTTCTATAAAATAAAGCCTTCCAAATTTATATCACTATGTAATATGATAATTTTAGATTTTGTTAAGTGGCTTTGAAAAGAAATATTTAATTTTTTGGACCTGTGGGGTTCTTGCAATCAACTATTCTTTTTTTTTTTTCATTCATAGCAAGCCCCTCAAAAGCCCTTCCTAATGCTGCTGTGGAGAGATTAAAACTCAAATTCAAGGGAAGTTTATCTGAAATTGTCTGTCTTTCCCCTGTCCCTACCTGTCATCATTGCTTCCTGTCCCTCTACCCTATTTTGATTTTCTTTATAGTACTATGTAGCATGTACAACTTCCTCTAAGGCAGGGACTTTGTTTTATACACTACATTATCTCTGGTGCCTAAAACATAGTAGGCAGTTAATCAATATTTGTTGACTGCTAGAAGAATGAGTGAACCTGAATTCTATGTCAGATTTCCAGGAATAAATTTATGGTGCGTCAAAGAAATGCAGAATGTATTAAAGGATACAAAGAAACAAGCAACTCAGGGCAATAGGAAAACACCAGTAGGAAAATAAGGTTGTCAGGATCAGGTTCAGTACACAAAAATATGTAGCATAAATTTCTATGACTAGTTTAAAAATTGGGGTGATATATTTGGTTGCATTTCTTAGTTGTCAGAGAGAGGAGAGAAATGTAGTTCATTGCAAAGTTAATGGCATTAAAATATACTGGTTGTTCAGGCAAAGATGAGCGTTTCTGACAGCACCTGTTTCTCCCTGGAGTGTTCGTTTTTTTTTAAAATACGATCTGATCAAAATGTTTCTCAAGAGAGGTATCCACATTGCTTTATACCTCCCTGTTTTTGCCTGAGTTCAGTTTCCATTATAGAACTGAAGAAGTTAAAAAATATTTCTCCCTTAACATGTAGTTTAATGGTTTTTCAAGCCTTTTATGTTTTATGTATGTATTTTACCAAAGTCTGGTTATAAGTCAATTAAAAGTATCTAAATCAGCACCCTTGGGCACTTCTCTCCAGAACATTTTGAGAGTTGAGAGTTCAGCTTGAAAACTTACAAATGAATTCATGTGTCGTAACTTGTTGCTCTGCTGGCCTTTCACCTGCAATGGCATTACTGTTGCTTTTGCATTTTTCTCCAGATTTTGCAAATCACCCTTAGCTTAAAGAATGGTGATACATGTTAGCAAAAGAAACTTTTGACTTGTTTTAATCTCAATAACCTCAGATATGCAGATGACACCACCCTTATGGCAGAAAGTGAAGAGGAACTAAAGAGCCTCTTGATGAAAGTGAAAGAGGAGAGTGAAAAAGTTGGCTTATAGCTCAACATTCAGAAAACTAAGATCATGGCATCCGGTCCCATCACTTCATGGCAAATAGATGGGGAAACAGTGGAAACAGTGTCAGACTTTATTTTTTTGGGCTCCAAAATCCCTGCTGATGGTGATTGCAGCCATGAAGTTAAAAGACACTTACTCCTCGGAAGGAAAGTTACGACCAACCTAGATAGCATATTAAAAAGCAGAGACATTACTTTGCCACCAAAGATCACTCTAGTCAAGGCTATGGTTTTTCCAGTGGTCATGTATGGATGTGAGAGTTGGACTATAAAGAAAACTGAGTACTGAAAAATTGATGCTTTTGACTGTGGTGTTGGAGAAGACTCTTGAGAGTCCCTTGGACTGCAAGGAGATCCAACCAGTCCATCGTAAAGGAGATGAGTCCTGTGTTCATTGGAAGGACTGATGCTGAAGCTGAAACTCCAGTACTTTGGCCACGTCATGGAAGAGCTGACTCATTGGAAAAGACCCTGATGCTGGGAGGGATTGGGGGCAGGAAGAGAAGGGAACGACAGAGGATGAGATGGCTGGATGGCATCACTGACACAATGGACATGAGTTTGAGTAAACACTGGGAGTTGATGATGAACAGGGAGGCCTGGCGTGCTGTGATTCATGGGGTCGCAAAGAGTTGGACACGACTGAGCGACTGAACTGAACTGAATCTCAAATTTAGAAAGATTTAAATTTTAAATCTTTTTAAATTTTAGAAAGATTTAACTTAACTCCTAATAGAGAGTATAGCTGTTTCCTCTCAATTTTTTATTTTGAAAAACTTTTAACTACAGAAATGTTGAAAGGATTATATCATGAATATTCATCTGTATATCCTTAATCTAGATATGACCATTTTAAACATTTTTCATATTTGCATTCTCTGTCTCAATACGCAGACACACATAAACACACTTAAACTTTAATTATTTTTTCCTGAATAATTTGAAAGCAAAGTATTTTAACACTTTACCCCTCAACACTTCAGTGTGTATCTCCTAAGAACAAGGGCTTCATGATCACAACACCATCATCACACCTAATGAAATTTGACACTGACACAGTAACACTTTGCGCGTCAGTGATCTCTTAGGTAGCGCAGCACTGGAGTCCTTTGTGACTTAGAGCTGTAGCCTGATGCAGCCTGATACAGCTGCACCCCAGGCTGTAGCCTGTGATTCTGTGCAGTGGTTGCATGGTTCCTTGCCTAAGAAAGTTCCTCGGGCTTTCCTATGCCACGGAATCCGTCTGGTGGGAGGAACTGGGCTGAGCCCAGCTGGGATCAGAAATGTTCCTTCTTAAATCTTGACTCCTTCTTTTGATTGGATCTCTTCTGTGGTGATCTTGTTTTTCTAAAGCCTCACCAGAGCCTGTGGTCATGGTGTGCGCTGACTCCTCGTCTGTGATACCTTTCAGGAACGTCATAATGAACGAAGGCAGCTGGGGCATCTCTCACACGCGTGTGCCGACCGAGTCTCGGCCCGGACACGTGGCCATGATTGCAGGGTTTTATGAAGATGTCAGTGCAGTTGCCAAAGGTACTGTCTCTTTAGATGATTTTATCACATGAGGAGATTGATTGCATAAATATTGCTTCTTTAATACTGAATCATGACACAAAGCAAAGTGCGTTTTGAGATCCTTTTGACAAGTCATTTAGCTTGCCTAACTCAAACACGCACTGGGACTGACTCAAGAATAAAACGTCAATCTTGTATCATCCTGTCCTGTTGATAGAATATGATTGGGTGGATCTCTGGTTTTCCTAGATGTTAACGCTCAAAAGTTCAAAAGTGATTCTGTATTTTAGTAAGAAGTCAATTAACTGTTGTAAGCTTTTTAAAAAAAAAATTTGTAGTATAATACAGATAACAAAATCTGTTGTTAGTTTTGCATTTGTTCTGCAGTTAATCCTCTTTGTTGTTATTTGAAAAATACTTCTTCAGGAGCCATACCAATACTTTACCATCTAAATATTACTATTGTCATTGTTTGTTTTTTTCCTCAATTACCTGAAGGATGGAAGGAAAATCCCGTGGAATTTGATTCTCTCCTTAATGAAACCAGGTACACGTGGTCCTGGGGAAGCCCAGACATCGTGACTATGTTTGCCAAAGGTAGGAGTCACTGAGTCTATTTCCCCAGACACTAAGTAGGCAATAAATCAGTGTGGTAATTTAAAACATATACTACATTTACTGAGTATGAGATACATGTTTTGACATATTGAACATCTCTGAAATGAGTGTATATTATAATAGATGTGTGAGTTTAATTTTTTTTTTATCTTAGTTGTACTTAAGATGTTGGATTATACAGTTTAAATAACTTGGATTCAGTGAAATGGTATATGATTCTAACATCTAACAGCTTTTTAATCTTGGGTAAGTTAGATAACTTGTCTAAATTTTAGTTTTCTTTTTTGTAAAATGTGATAATAATTTCTATCTTATAGGTTTGTTTTGGGTGTTAAATAAGTTAATTCATGTGAAATATTGGCCAAAACGCTTATTACAATGATATCATTATGATGATGATGTTCACTTACTTTGATTATTAAGAAGTTAGTATATAATCACATAAAGATTTAAATGTTAAAATTTATAACTTCTATTTTCATGTATTCAAGATCATGCCATTGAGATTTGTTGTATTTGTTGTGTTTCTGTGCATGAATCTGAAAGTATGAGAACATCTCTTGATGAGAAAATTTATTTGCATCATTTTCTAGAATCAGCTGGATTCCACTTGAATTTTATGTTATTAAGTGCTTTTTAGTGGGAGCATTGTAGTCATTTCACCTAATGAAAAGGTTTGGACCTTTATCCATGGGTATAATTATACTATAAATTATAACAATCGGAATCATTAAAGATTATTCTATATCTCAAAAGCAAAACAGATACTCAGAATTTTCTGTATGATAGTCACAGAACATTATTATGTAGAACAGGTCCAAAAACTCATACTGCCTGCCATTTATATACTCCCTTAGTTCAGTTCAGTTGCTCAGTCGTGTCCAACTCTTTGCAACCCCATGGACTACAGCACACAGGCCTCCCTGTCCATCACCAATTTCCGGAGTTTACTCAAACTTATGTCCCTTGAGTCGGTGATGCCATCCAACCATGTCATCCTCTGTCAGCCCCTTCTCCTCCCGCCTTCAGTCTTTCCCAGCATCAGGGTCTTTTCTAATGAGTCAGTTCTTTGCATCAGGTGGTCAAAGCATTGGAGCTTCAGCTTCAGCATCAGTCCTTCCAGTGAATATTCAGGACTGATTTCCTTTAGGATGGACTGGTTGGATCTCCTTGCTGTCCAAGGGACTCTCAAAAATCTTCTCCAGCACCACAGTTCAAAGCATCAATTCTTCGGTGCTCATCTTTTTTTATAGTCCAACTCTCACATCCACACATGACTCCCGGAAAAAACAAAGCTTTGACTAGATTGACCTTAGCTGGAAAAGTAATGTCTCTGCTTTTTAATATGCTGTCTAGGTTGGTCATAGCTTTTCTTCCAAGGAGCAAGGAGTTAAGCTTTTTTTGGTAGTGGTGAGGATAAAGTTGCTATGGTTTACCAAATTCACCTCCCTCCTTCTGACTACAGTTCATAGGACAGGATCAATGCCTTAACTGGAGACAATCCAATAGGAATGTTCCATTTCTTACAGTAACTTACAGTCTCACTCAGATCTTTACTTGGGATTTGAAGAGTAGAATGGTTGAGGAGTGGAACCAGTATCATAAGAGCTTCAGTTCAGTCACTCAGTCATGTCCAACTCTTTGCGACCCCATGAACCGCAGCACGCCAGGCCTCCCTGTCCATCACAAACTCCCGAGTTTACTCAAACTCATGCCCATCGAGTCAGTGATGCCATCCAGCCATCTCATCCTCTGTCGTCCCCTTCTCCTCCTGCCCTCAATCTTTCCTGGCATCAGGGTCTTTTCAAATGAGTCAACTCTTCCCATAAGGTGGCCAAAGTATTGAAGTTTCAGCTTCAGCATCAGTCCTTCCAATGAACACAGGACTCATCTCCTTTAGGATGGACTGGTTGGATCTCCTTGCAGTCCAAGGGACTCTCAAGAGTCTTCTCCAACACCACAGTTCAAAAGCATCAATTTTTCGGCGCTCAGCTTTCTTCACAGTCCAACTCTCACATCCATACATGATCACTGGAATCATTAGAGCTTAGCTTGTCATTATTACAAGAGATTGTCATTATTTTGCTATGTCTCTTCCTTATGAACTTTAAGAGGCTATCTAAGTCAGAAATTCACTAAGTTTATTAGATCCTTAATAAAATCTTACAGGTGTGTAAGATTAATATATTTTTTGTCCCTTTCAAACTGTTTGGCAATTATCAATATTTTTTCCCATATATTGAGAGAAATGCATGTATTTTATGAACAAAAGAATTGAAATATTTGAATTTTCTTCTTGGTTAGGGAATTTTGTAAAACAGGTGATTTAATCTGTTTTAGATTGTACCATCCCTAGATGCCCAAATTCTTTGATTAGTTTCATCCTTACTTGAAGACAAACTCTGTTGTTTACTTCTGTGCTATTGTATACTAACTAGGGTTGTGATTTTTTTTTCTTAGAATTTTAAATTACAACTCACTTGTATCTGTAAAATTAGAAAATGTTACTATAAGAACAAAAGCAATAGCATATGTTCAAGCTTACACCATGGTCCATGGCATGTCATTAAAAATTTTTTCCCCAAATTTCCTCTTCAGGTGACCTTGGAAACCATATTTTTGCACACACTTACGATGCATCCAGTGAGGATTTTGGTGCCCACGATGTAACAAAACTGGACACATGGGTTTTTGATCATGTGAAGGTACGTGCTATTGAGTGGCTCACCTGCAGCACACTGGATGTAGGTATTTGTCTAATGTGCACTAGTTGTCTAGGACCTGTACCTAATGTGCTAGAAACTGATTTGTGAATACGTGCATCTTAGTTTTTTCTGCTTGGATGAATTTGAAAGTTCCTTATTGTAGCATACTATTTTGAAAAGACTGGATTCTAAGAAATTGCACATTCTACAATAACCATACAGGTTTTTAAAAAATAATTTGAAAAAGTAAACTCTTTTCAGTTCCGTGCTTCTGACAGTGAAGTGAGCCCTGATGGGATTCAGGAACCCCACATTTCATTCCTCACTTGCTGAATCACCCCAGATAACCTTCCTGGTCTTTTGTTGACCACAGAACCAGTCTCTTACAAGCTGTGATGTATGTGAAAGTCTTCTGAATGTTCAAATCTAAGGCATTTATTATAAAATAAGGTAGATATTTAAAACATTTGTAAAGAAAAATTAGATAAGCAGAAAACAAGTTCATAAGTTAATCATAATAAAACATTTGAGTCTCTCTAAGAAATAGAGGGGGGTTTTTTTGGACTATTTGTTAGTGACAATCCGCACAGTTTCACCAGGAATCCAACAGAATTTATGTTTTCAAAAATTGTGAGAGAATCTCAACTCTGGGTATTGGCTGACTCCTGTCTATCATTCTCTTCTTTTTCATCTCCACATTAGAACTCATAATTCATCTGTTGTTAAGAGGCATTCATTGACTGACCTTTAGTGGTTCTTCTTTTTACCCGTAGTGTCTCTGGACTGACATAGTGGGCTTCTCCATAACACAGTCATTTTTTATTGTTTGTTTGTAAACAGTCAGTAGGTGTCTGCATATTTATCAGGAATTAAGTGCTCAATATGTTCTTTGATAAGCCCTATTTCTTTTCTTAGAATTTTTTTCCTTAAGATTTTCTTTTCTTACTCAAAATGAAAGTGAAAATCTTCAAGTTAAATAAAATCTTTTTACAAAAATAACAAATGATTTTGCTAAGTATCACTCTTAATATAATCAACTTATGTTAGTATTTGATTCAAGGCCCTTGGCTTCTAACTTCATAAACATAGCTAAAAATGTTCAACATCATGGATTTGATTCCTTGTGGATAGGCAGATATAGTTAGTGGCGGGCTTGATTCTATGCCTTTTTTACCTTATTTCAACACTGGTATTGACCAGAAAAAAAAAAAATTCCCTATAATTTCATATGGTATGATAGAGGTATGTACATTAATCAGGTAACAACAAAAATATGAAATCATCCACAATAAAGAGTGGTGTGAAGGAAAAATATAGGGACTAAGAATATATCTTTAGAAAAGTTCAATCTAAGCTAAACAGTTAGAGGAAGAATTTCCTGTGAGTTTTGAGATAATCTCTGGAGAAGCCTAGGAAACAAAGAAATGGTTGGACCTGGATTGCATATAGAGAAGAGTATCTCAGGCCAACAGCATAATGATAACTTGGGCTCCAAAGGAACTCTGTAATAGAGTAAAAGTACTGCTTTAAAGTTTGTTTGTCTCTCAATGAACGATAATGCCAGAAGTAGGCAGCCCAGGATTGTTGTAGTCCAAGATTGCCATGGTGGTTCCCCAGTGTCATTAAGACCTGGTTTCTTAAATGTCTCTTCTGTCCTCAGAGCGTGGCCTTAGCTTCTGGGTTGTCTGACGACAGGAGATGCTGGCGCTCTAGCCATTATTTCAGTGTTCTAGGTCAACAATACAAGGAATTGAAAAGGACCTTCTCTTCTACTAAGTTTAATTTGTTTCAAAAAGACTTTAATAAATAGTTAAATTTATTTCAGAAGGCACATCATCTTTTGACTGAAGTGTTTGATTTCTGTCTCCTTGGCCATAACCAAAAAGGCACTGACAGGTAGCTGTGGGAGACAATAAGAAATATGTAGGTTTTAAGTTTGAAGCACTGACATGTTCCCATAAAATCAGAAGTTTTACTTAGAAAAAAAGGGAGAATGCATGCACTCTCCCACAATGCATAGTAAATATTTAAGTACAAAAAGGAACGAGTGCCTTTGAGCTCAGGAGAAAAGTGGGAGTTGGTGGGCATAATTACACTAAATATCGGGAGTGGAGAGGAAGCTAGGAGTGTATTTCACCTCTTGTGTGCAAAAGACCAACTTTTTAAAAGGCAATGGGAATCTATCAGGTTGAGCTCTGCAAGATTAGTGTTTCATGGTTTCCCAGATCGTATGTCCACGTTCGAATGAACAGCACTTTTTACAAAGCTGAATAATATCAGTCATGAAACAGATTGTAAATTCGACTCCACTCAATCGCTAAGTTTTTTTCTCGTCAGCTTTTCAGTTACATCTTTAGAATATAAGTCCTTTCTCTTGAAAAACTTCCCATTTCTATCTAGATTTAAAGTTTCTTAGGGGCTAATTGGAATGTAGATGAAAGCTAGGGGGTCATTTTATGCTTTTAAGGATGATTCTGTTTATTTATATTTAGTTTATATTTATTTATATTTAATTTCATTTGTATTCCTTTTTTTCTTTCTATTCAGAAATAAGTGGTTTCTCTAATGGCACCATTTATATTTTTTTAATGTTTGTAATAATGAGTTAGTTGAAGGAATACTTCAGGCTTTTATTGGAAAGTTAAATACCTTGTTAAAATTAACATCTTAAATAGTTAAAGACATTTATGTGAATAATAATTATTTATCTTGGCAGTCAGGTGACTTATTCAAAATAATTTAAAAGTACTTTCCATAGGTACTTGCTTACATGTTCATGTGTATGTAAGTACAGGATGAACCCTTTTCTTAGAGGGCTTTATGAATCCCGTTTATCATTGTGAAATTAATCATTTTTGATCTGTATTCCCATCCATTATGTGGACATTTTTCTGTCATATCTTGTGAAGCACAGATTTGAGCCTTGGGACGGTAGAAATAGGCTATTTCCAATGTTCCAAGTGAGAGATTATGGTTGAACTAGGGTGCTAACACAGGACAAGAAGCAGGAAAACATTTAAAACTCATAAAGCATTCCTAAATTGTTGCCATTAGTGCTGTTTTATTGTTGGCTCGTGTCAAAATAGTTCTCCAGTATTGTTAGAACTTCATGAAATCAAGATCCCCTTTCTATCATCTTTCTTCAGCCTAATTATAATACGGAAAATAGCTCACTTGTTTTTTGAATATAGGCGTCTGAACTGACAAGTACTTTGTGTTGGTAGGTCCTGAGGACAAATTTAAACAAAATAGGACAGTTAATTTTTTAGTTCTGTATAAGTTTAATTAAATGTTTTCATCAGAATTACTTTTTAAATAAAATTAATGAACTAAAATTTTTTAACTGATTTGTTACATATAGGAATTCTTTCATGCTGCCAGAAACAACCAATCTTTGTTTTCTAAAGTAAATGAAGACAAAATAGTTTTTTTCTTACATTTATTAGGAATAGACACAAATGGACATGCACATCGACCATCATCAAGGTAATTTTAATGCTGTGTTTATTTTCATGGTTTTGAGGGAAATACCTGTTTTGTTTGAACTTTTAAAGTACTGTAATGTTTTCTTTGTAATGATCACAATAGAACTTATATTTTAAATAACTCTAAAGTAGAATACATTCTAATTTATATGATACATAGTATGATATTGTGGCTAAAATCACATGTGCTGTGACCACATTACACATTAATATAAGTAAAATATGTTCTGTATGTGTATTCCATATTACTCATTTATCAAAGCAGAGAGAAAAAGATTATATTGTAGAAGGATTTTAATAAATTTTGTAACAAAAAGCATTTTTATGATGCTAATATTTATATCACAAAAAGATGTAACTAGCTGTTCCTTACGTTCCATTTAATCAGTGCTATATCTAGCAGATAATAGTATAAAGTTTTGTATACTATATTTCAGTAGCACTCCTTATATAAAACAGCAACTATTTTTCTCACTTTTGCAGAGCATAAGATAGGAAGAATTCATATTATGCTTTTACTTTTCATTTTGGATTAGATTTAGATTAGTCTAACTAACAGTAAAGTCTGTTAACTTCCAGTAATGAATGCATTATGCTTCTCTTGTTTAACACAATGCATTGTCTTAAGTAATAAAACTTATACTAAATCACCACTTGTTCATTTGTATGGAAAGCTTAAATATAGTTTGTTCAAAATGTATTGTATCATATTGCAAACACATTAAAGAATGAAAATATTCTATAGTTGAAACAGTGATACTTAACCTGTTTGATAAATGTGGGAAGAGCAACATAGTTTACATTATTAGAGACATAAATTGAAAAGTCATCATTGTTGCATTTGAGACTTAAAAAACATTCATGAAAATCTATTTGCTAATCAACACTTTTTTAAAAAAATATTTTTGAAAATGATTTCAGATTGTTTTACTTCTTTAAGAGAGGAAGAATTGTTTTTAACAATCTACAGAGCTCTGATTTAAAAACATTAAGGTTGAAATCTAAAAGTATTTTAGGAGTTATTGACTTTATCATAAACTCATGTTGAATAAATTTGATTTTGCCAAATTAATGTAATTAATATAATTTAATTTGCTCTTCTCTTTCTTTTTAAACAGGGAATATTCAGACAATATTAAATTAGTTGATAAAGAATTGAAAGAACTTGAGTCTACTATTAAAGGTTTTTATGGAAATGATGGGAAAACAGCATTTATCTTTACCGCTGACCATGGAATGACAGACTGGGGTTAGTCTGCCTCTAAGTGATACATACTTTATGATTAAAGTAGTGGTAAATGTAGCTTGCAAATATTTTAGGGTATTGACGAGGATTAGATGTCTTAGTATATGCAAAGTGTCTGGCACATAAGAGCATGCGTAAAATGTTAGCATAAAAAGACTGATCTTGTACGATCTCTCTTCTGACTGTGAAAGGGATGTGTTCTCATCTGCCTTCCCAGGTAGCTCAGTTGATAAAGAGCCCGCCTGCCAGTGCAGGAGACCGGACATGGGCTCGGTCCCTGGGTTGGGAAGATCCCCTGGAGTAGGAAATGGCAACCCCCTCCAGTGTACTTGCCAGGAAAGTTCCATGGACAGAGCCTGGAGGGCTGCAGTCCACAGGGTTTCAGAGTCGGGCACAGCTGTGTGTGTATGTGTGTGCACACCCACCACACACACACAGAGAAGAACCCTCCCCCCCAAACCCACATTCATCTACCTAGAAGTAACTGTATGTGATGGCATGGTGCGTGAGTTTAAGGTGGTGTTGCTGGGGGAGCTAGGGCTGCTGACCTTGTCCACTAAAGGAGACTGTCCACTCTCCCAGACTCCCAGGGCAGACACAGTGTGTGCCCAAAGTGCAAACCAAGGCAAAGCTGAGACTTGGGTCCCCGGATCACAGTGTAGAATTCTGATGAGGGGGTCCCACTTTATCAGGGGGTTTTGGCTACACCAGCCAGAGTGCCGGGAAGAAAAGCAGACTGAGACTCTGCTTCCTCTTCAGAGCAGAGCTGGCCTGGACCGCCCACCCCAAACCTGGCGGTTACTCCCCAGAGGAGCCTTCCCTGTGGTTTCTGCCTTCGGTGCCACTCTGGTGGCATCTCCCCAAGCCTTAGTCGTTATGATTCTTAATCTTCTTTCAACCAGAGTCACTCCACGGGTGTTCTGATTTTTCTTTTTGCCTGTTTGTTGTTGATGCTCTGACTTGCCTTGAGGATATTTTAAAACTAATTGTTAAAATATAGATGCAACCTTTTGGGAGTGTGGTGGCAGAAATTAGCTCTTTATGGATCAACTCTTTACAACTAAGTATTAAAAAATATTTAGGTATAGGTTAATCAGGTATAGGTTCATCTTTATATACTTACGTTGCTCTTTGTGCCTTATTTGTAGGCTCCCATGGAGCTGGTCATCCTTTAGAGACTTGTACTCCTTTTATCGCTTGGGGAGCTGGAATCAGGCTTCCCCAGAAAGTGTCAGCTCAGAAATTTGATGACTTATATTTGCAAGGTAGGAATGCTTACCTCTATTGTTTTTATGAATGTGACATTTTAAAATTAAAGTTTAATTTTAAAAAATGACTTTTCAAATTATACCTTTCATTTTGTTATTTGTGACATTTCTATTTCTGTGTATTACTTTTGTGTAGTTTATATTATTTCATTTATGATATTCAGCTTAAAATACACATTATTATTTGCCTTATGAAAGTTCAAGTGTACTATTTTTTTTCACAAAGCTTATTACTCTAGGACTCAGATTAAACCCTTGGCTTAGATCTTACCTGCAAAGACTATCAATCAGATAAGCCACACTTATGTCACAATTCACGTTTGAAAACTGGACAGATTTTGCCCTGTCTCTAGTACTTTTGAAGACCTTCTGTGTTGCTCAAGCCTTCTTGTTTCTCAATCCATGATAAAAAGGAATTTCTTTTTCCTTGGAGCTCTGGTTATCTTGTAAGGTACGGGTCTTTTTAGAATTTCAGAGCTTTTACTAATTGGACAAGATAAATTCCTCCCAAATGTCCTTCTTTGAATGAGTTGAATGAGTTGTGTCAACTCATGCCCGTGAAAGGATTAGATTGGGTCTAAGTAGAAGCTAGGTTAAATGGGATGTTTGTACTTAGGAAACAGAACTTTATTTTGGCAGTTGATTTCAACCCACTTCAGTATCCTTGCCTGGAGAATCCCCATGGACAGAGAATCCTGACGGACTGCAGTCCATGGGGTTACATAGAGTCGGACACGACTGAGCTGCTAAGCACATACTACTTTCACATTTGGGATTAGTGGTGGTAGGAGCATCAGAGCTAAAAAATTTCATGTATTTTGCAAGCAGCTGCCATTACAAAAAAAGAAAAGCTTAGACTGGCTAACGGACGGTCGGCCGCGTTAGTGACTCCCTGGAGCAGGACTGTCGCTGCAGTCATGTGACGGTTGTTATCATTATGCCTTTTGCTTCCATCTTTCCTTCCTTAGCCTTTTGATGTTTTGAAACAATTATCCCCTACTGAGCATTTTGGAAGTTTAATAAACTATTACAGAAAATACCAAATATGTATTATTGAGTGACTCTTTTAAAACTCTAGTTTAAAAAAGTTTGCCACTCTGCCTTACCCTCATGGTTCATACTCGGCTTAAAATCGACTGTCCCAGTACTTTCTTTTTCCATGGACCACCTGCAGTAATCCAATAACTTCTTTTTTTTTTTAATTCTTAACATCAGCACTTATGTTTATTTGTATCTTTCAGAGTGGAAGTTGGAGAACTGGAAGAGACGTGATATTAATCAGGTATTTATTATATTTAATCATGTTCAAATTTAATTTTCTCTCCTATAAGAAGTTTAGAACAAAAAAATCTGGGAAAGAAAATTGTATTAAAGATGATAAAAGATTTTTCTAAAACACTTCAGTTACTAAGAGAAATCCTGCTAGTGTGAATATTTTCACCCCGAGTAATCTTTCTTTGGGCAAAATAAAGCAGCCTCAAATAAAACCGAAAGAAGGCTTCCTCCAAATAACACTGGCTAATTACAGAACTATTGTGCAAATTGAAACGTGCGTGCCTGTTACATTTGTGTGACTTTTTTGTCATGGTTGCCTTGCTCAGTTGCCTTCAGCATGGATCTAAGAAAACCCCACTATGGGTTTCCTTCCTGTTAGGGTGTCAGGTACTGTTTCTTCTTTATTAAAGCAAGTTTTATCTTTAATTCTACCCCCAAATTTTTACAAATGCAGTGGGAAAAAAGTGACAAGAGTATATAGATTAGAATCCTTACATTGTAGGAAAGCTTACATTACAGGAGAATGCCTGGCCAATCTAACAGAGTTAGACCAGTAGCATCACTTGTAAATAGGAAGCACAGAATTTTCTTGTTGAGGATGTGCTGTGTAGACATGTCTTAAGTGAAAGGCATGGTGTCATTGGTGTGTGTCCTCCAGAATGGCAGGAATATCTTACACCTCCTCCAGGTCACCTCACATGTTCACCTCAGAAGCTGGCTTTCCTTACTGTGGAGGATAAACCAAGCTCTGGGGTCTCATTTTCAGCTGTGTGCTCACAGAAGCCTTTTCTTTCTCAGCATATTAAGAATGGTCTCATCTCTCCAGATGCATGCAAATGAAAATGTATAGAATGTATAGAATCAGATAGCAGTCTATTAATTTGCAATAAAAACCACTGTCAGAGGGATGGGAATATCTTGAAGTTCATAAAATAAGAGCATGTATTATTCATAGCCAGACTGGATCATAATCAAAAACTGAATGCTATTACTCTCTGAACACTGCTTCAGATCTACATTAGATGAGAATTCTGTATTCATTCCTTCTGCCAGCGTTGTTATGTGTCAGCAGTATGTTTAAGCACTGCAGACTTTAACACTAACATTCAACGTTGAAATATTAACATTAAACTTCGTGTGACAGCTGTAATGGTGAATAAAAGGCAGACACAGTCCCTCCCCTAGGAAGCTTATAGTTTAGGAATAAGATAAATGTTACATTTATCTTTACTTATCATACAAATAAATGTAAACTTATAGCAGCGATAAGTACAGCAGAAGAGACCTGGGAAGCCATGAGGGCGTAGAGCAGATCTAGCTGGAGGGCTGCGTGGTCAGCAAAGGCTTCCTGAGAAACCGAGGCTTGAGCCGAGACTGAAGCCTGAGCAGAAGTTGCCAGGCCCGGGCAGGAGGTGGGAGCGTCTCAGGCCGAGGAGCAGCCTGTGCCCAGAGGCCTGGGAGGGGCTACATGGCACTTCCGAGGATCCTGAAGCAGGCGGCTGAACAGAGCGCAGACAGCGTGGTTTAGTGGGAGGCAGACACTGGGCGCGCAGGGCCGCGCGGGCCGGTGGGCTCATCCTCAGGTTTGGGGAGGCCCTCCTGGTGTTTGAAGCCGGGGACTGACCCGATCTGCGGTTTTACGGCAGCGTCTTCTCTGTGTTGGAGAATAGTTCAGAGGCCAGCAGTGGAGCCTGGGGAAGGAGAGGATGCAGGCAGGCGGCCAGGGGTGCTGTCAGTTTTCTGTGAGCTGGGGCTTGGCAAAGAGTGAGACAGACTGAGAGCCTGGGACAAAACTCCAACTCTGAATGAGGGCTTGAGAAATCAGCTCTGAATGTTCACTGGAAGGACTGATGCTGAAGCTGAAGCTCCAGTACTTTGACCACCTGATGTGAAGAACTGACTCATTGGAAAAGACCCTGATGCTGGGAAAGGTTGAGGGCAGGGGAAGGGGACGACAGAGGGTGAGGTGGTTGGATGGCATCACCGGCTGGATGGCCATGAGTTTGAGTAAACTCCGGGAGTTGGTGATGGACAGGGAGGCCTGGCGTGCTGCAGTCCATGGGGTCGCAAAGAGTCAGACATGACTGAGCGACTGAGTGAACTGAACTGAGAAAGTAGAGATTGGAGACACTCTAACGGTGGGGTTACAGAGACCCAAAGGGAGTGGTCTGCACAGTGCCGAGTGGTCACATCCTTATAATCACAGCAGTGTCTGCAGCAGCTGGTTAGTGCAGGATTATTACACACCAGCACTTATAAATTGTCTCATTGGCTCGGGCTGTAATTCTGTAAGGGAGAGACTTTTACTTATTTTTTAACTGACAAGGAAAACTGAAGCATTGGAGAGTTGAAATGACCTGCCCAAGGTCTCAGAGATCACAAGCGAAGTGTTTGTAATTGGACATTCTGACAGTCAAGCACTTGACTGCCTGAAACATCATCAGGACTAATACAAAAGCAATCAATTAGATGTGGAAAATGGAGGTTATTAGTTCTGTAGTGAGCACAGTCTAGAGGATGATAAAGAGCCAGAACAAGTTAGCGTGGCCCGAGGACAGATGGGGAGGTGAGGCCACGGAGACCGGAAGCGTGGTCTGCTCCTCTGGACACTTGGGCCTGGAGGGGCTCTCCAAAGCCGTGCTTGCAGACTTGTGTCTAAAGAGACTCTTATCCTGCTTGATGTCTTTTTCTAGACTCCACTGGCTGGCCAACCAACCTCCTTCTGCTGTATTCTTTCTTCAATTAGTATATATATATGTGCGTATATATATATCTAGTTGAAGTCTACTTTTGCTGTTTATTTTCTGTCTAGTAAGCTTTCTTGTCATAATACCCAAAAAGTGTTACATTAGGTGGTCAAGCTCTTAGCCTGTAGAATAAGGAACTCTTTTGTTTTATATATTTTACCTTGGGGGCTCCTAGTGGTTTCAAATTTAGATTTTCATAAGTTCATGTGCCTCTAGCAAATGACATTTTTTTAGAGATCAGTATCTAATGTGTATGGAATAAGTATTTGATGATAATGGATTAAAATAGATATAAATAAAAAATAAATAAATAAAATAGATATCATGGTTATCTTTCAAAATCCAGTTATACAAATTAAATTTCTTAATGTCCTTGTTGATCTGTCGCCGTCTTAGATTTCACTTCTTCTGTTTGCAGGCTGATGTTGCACCGTTGATGGCAGCTCTTATTGGAGTTCCCTTCCCTCTTAATTCAGTGGTAAAGAGTACAATTTTCTTATCAACTCTCCGAATAAAAGAAAAATTATTGTACAGTAAAATTTACTTTTTGTGTGTTTCTGAATCCATTTAAAGAAAATTTATGACAAAGATATTGCTGGTTTGCTAAATCAGTGCTCCGGAGACTCAGGACAAAGAAACTCACTGCGGTTCCGTGGCAGAGCCAGTCCGCAGGGTCGCCGACTCGCATTGTGCCTCTTGTACTGTCTGTTCCTTGACCCTGAAGCTTCAGATTCCAGTGTTTATTAGCATTTGAGTGGTCCAGCCTGGATTACTTGTCTACCCTTCAGTATGGGAAGGCAGGGGACCTCATTAGACCCACTATGTTCCATCTAATATCTCAGCTTCCAGTGGAAATGTTTTTAAGATGGGAACTGGATGCTGAAAAACTACAAGACAAACAATCCATTCCCATCAGCCATTCTTTCTAGCCCTCAAGTCAAAGTTTAAAAAAACAATATCATCTGCCTCAGAACCCTGAGTCATCTGACCCTTGTAGTCATAAATGTATGTGTATGTCTATAACTGAAAGAGTTTCACAAACACCCTCACATTTAAGTACAGTGTAATTAATAGTGTGGAGCTTCCCGGCGGCTCAGTCGTAAAGAACCTGCCTTCAGTGCAGGAGGCCCGGGTTCGATCCCTGGGTCAGGAAGATCCCCTGAAGCAGGAAATGGCAAACCACTCCAGTATCTCCTGGAAAATCCCATAGACAGAGGAGCCTGGTAGGCTGCAGTCCATGGGGTCGCAAGAGTTAGACACGACTTAGCAACTAAACCCTGAGAGCATACTCCTATTTTTCTTATGTCTTTTTTTTTTTTTTTTTTTTACTGTGCTGGCTGCAGCCCACCATAGTAGCTTTTTGTGTGTGCAGGGCGTTTAGTTCACTGCCTGCCGTATAGTAATCTTTTGATAAATGTTAGGTTTTATTGGACTTAATTCATCTCTTTTGCTTTGTTTATTTTATCTATTTTGTGAGAAAAGTAATAGAACATTTTTCAGTTGCGATTTAAAAAAAGATTTTTTAATTATTCCAAGAATTTATTTGTCCATGTCTTATCTCTATTGCTTCCCTTGTAAGTCTGTTTTGTTTTATAAGAATAATCTGAGCTTCGTTAGTACTAATATTAAACCACGTTATTATTTACAGGGAATCATTCCTGTGGACATACTTAATACCTCTGATCTCTTCAAAGCAGAGAGCATGTTTACAAATGCAGTACAGATTCTTGAACAGTTCAAGGTAAAACAAGACCACACACAAATATGGACATGATTCCAGTTTTAAAACTAAATATATCTTGTGAAAATACTTGATTTTGCATTTGAAGAAATGATTTTCGTAATGTATTATCTTTAAATTGTCTGTACCTGACTAGCGTTCTGCAATTCCACATTTCTGAGGTGCAGTTTTCATGAATCACTTCGAGGGTGTAGAATTAGCACTGAGGAGTGTCCTTAACTGTTAGAGTACCACATATGCTTATAAAGACTGCAAACCAAGTCTCTGTTGATGGAATTTGCCTTGTAGAAGTAGTTTTAGAGATTGCAACATTTCATGTCGTTCTGTGTACATTATTATTTGCATTAACAACTTAAAGAAATGACTGTTTAACTGAAACTTTGTTATTCATAATAGTGTTAATGCAGCATAACTTATTTTGTTTCCTAAAAGTTAAAAAGTATAGCTTAATTCTATGAGTTTCTTTTTTTTTTGCAGGCTTGATATGCTTCATTCTCAGCTTATTGTAATGGTACTATATAGCATTAACATTTTCTTTAAATATTTATGAAGTAGGATAGTAACACAAAATTCCATTTATTTCTATCAGCATAGAACCATTTTAATGGATATTTGTATTTCAAAATGAAATTAGTTCATTTTTTTCTCTTTTCTAATATAAAACATTTTCACACTTGGTTCCCAGGTAAAAATGACTCAGAAAAAAGAAGCTACTTTACCGTTTTTGTTTACACCATTTAAGTAAGTCTCTTATGTTTTTTATTAACTTGTAGGAGAGAATTTTTCACTGAGTTTGAATGCTTGACACAACAGATTAGGTACTTAGAAAATCTGTCTTTTTTGTGTCCATTAGTGTCATAGACCAAATGAAAGCCTCTTCTGTTGTTTTGCAAATGATGAACCAGATGCTGTCTACCTTGAGTGGCTCGTAGAGGAGATACAGAGGTGCAGAAAGACAGGAAGCGTGAAGGAGATAACCTCAGCAGGGCTTGACTGGGAAGGGGCGCGGGCACTTAGGCTGGCCGACTGGGGAGATGCTCATGCCGTTCTGGCTTATAGAGAGAGAGGAGAGCTGGCGTGAGAGGTGAGGCTGAAGGCTGCTGAGCTCAACTTGCATTGGAAGACACAGGAATTAGTTAGAAATAGGGATTTGGATCTCAAGATAGAGATGAGAGTTGGTTAGGAAGATATCGGAGTCATCAGCATAAAGATGGTGGTGGAAGCCGTTACACGTGTAGGAGGCTCCAGGGGGAATGTATGAGGTGAAAAGGCCAGTGGTCTGGGAGATATCGACAACTGCTTGGGCAAAGAAAAGAGCAGGTTTTGGTGGGCAGCAGATTTTGTCCCACCCCAGAAAGATGGGCTTTCCCTGAACTTGGGAGTGGGGTTATTTGAGTCAAAACCTGGCTGACTGACTCAGGTGGGTGCCTCCTTGGGCTTCATGTGCAGTTAGCAAGGATTCACATTGAATTAGAAAGGACTTTTCTCTTGACCAAAATAAATAAAATTTGTTTGAAATATGGGTAGTAGGGATGTGATTGAGTGACTTCACTGGAGTTGTTTTTGACAACTTATATAGCATGCTAAGTTTCTTCAGGCATGTCCAACTGTCTGCAACCCCGTGGACTGTGGCCCACCAGGCTCCTCTGTCCATGGGATTCTCCAGGCAAGAATAGTGGAGTGGGTTGCCATGTCCTCCTCCAGGGGATCTTCCTGACCCAGGGATCAAACCCATATCTCCTGCATTTCCTGCATTAGCAGGCAGGTTTTTACCACTAGCACCACCTGGGAAGCCCAACTTATATGGCACTATGTGTGCTAAGCCGCTTGTCGTGTCTGACTCTGTGACCGCATGGATTGTAGCCCGCCAGGCTCTTCTGTCCATGGGATTCTCCCGGCAAGAAGACTGGAGTGCATTGCCATTTCCTTCTCCATATAGCACTAGTGGTCAATCCTAAAGGAAATCAACCCTGAATATTCCTCAGAAGGACTGATGTTGAAGCTGAAGCTCCAATACTTTGGCCACCTGATGCGAAGAGGTGACTCATTGGAAGAGACCCTGATGCTGGGAAAGATCAAGGCAGGAGGGGAAGGGGACGATTAAGAATGAGGTGGTTGGATGGCATCACTGACTCAATGACCATGAATTTGGGCAAACTCAGGGAGATAGTGAAGGACAGAGAAGCCTGGCATGCTATAGTTCATGGGGTTAAAGAGTCAGACACGACTTAGTGACTGAACGACGACAATAACATAGCACTAGTGTAATAGTCATGAACTAGAAGCTTTTACCCTCTGAAGCATGTAATTACAATTCACTATGGCAGCCTGCTGCTGTGTGTGTGTGTGGGAGAGCAAAAACAAAGCAAAATTAGGAGACTGCAAGTCAAAATTAATTATATAATATAATAATATATATCATAATGTTAATGAAATATTACATTAACTATATACGTCAAAGGTAGAATTATCATTTGAAGAGTGTCCCTTGTTGTAAGGTTATCACATATGCTTATAGAGAGTATAAGCCAAGTCTTTATCAATTAGAATTAGAGTTAGACTTCTGATCTTCCAATTGGAATGTGCCCTATATTATATCATTTAGATATCATATGCATCTGTTTATTAATAACATAGTAGTATAGTCAGACCATAACAAAGAAATAAATGAATAAGAAATATTTTATCAATTCTTGGTATGAAGAAGATACACAGGATGTTGAAAATAACAGTCACCTTCGATCCGCAACTTTATCAGGGAGATGCTCTTCTGCAGGAGGCTCAAACGCATGTTGGCTGTCTTCTTCCCCTCGGCCGGGAGCTGACCGTGACGCTGCCCTGCTCTGAAGCTCAGCACCTGCCTGGGAGCCATTGCTAGCTTTGTGCCAGCTGGGGGCCCGACAGAAGGGCTGACTCTCATCCATTGGCTCACCTGTCCTGCCTACAAACTTGTCTGGCTGAAAAGCACCATTTGTCGAAAGCCTGCAGCATGACCAAAAAAGCCCTAAGATAAAATAAAAAATTAACTTATGAGGAAATCGATAGTTGAAGGAATAGCAAAGGACTAAAAATATTAAAATCCTGAAATCCTCAGGAGTATCTGAGAAGCTGTTTTACCTATAAAACAAAAAGCGGCGCAAACTTTACAAAAGGAGAATTACGGGGTGCATTGTTTAAAAACGGGAAATGCGTCTAAAACCTCACGGAACGACCAGCTGTGTAGGAGTGAGCCAGCGGGGAGGCCGGCCCTCCAGATTAGAAGAGCGAGTGGACCGCAAGTGAGGTGAAGTGAGTTTTCAGTAGTATACGGATTGATGAGCAGCTCAGGAAACCCTGGAAGGCAGCATTTCTTCACCCCTCTTGCGGAGGAAACTTTAGGAAAAGGAAACGCTTCAAACTGTATAAGAAAGCACACTTGCAGCGTGCAGCGATAGAAGACGTGACGCAATTTGGAACAATTGAGGCAGACGGCTTGATCAGAGCAAACACAGGGAGGGATTCATTTTTGTAATGGCAAGCTGAGAGCTGAGAATGGTGGGGCAGGGATTTACTGGTTGTCATTATGCCCCTCTGTACTGTTTATTATTATTAAAAATTATATCTGTCTATATGTTTGTGTGTGTGTAAGGCACTTAAGTTCAGTTCAGTTCAGTCTCTCAGTCGTGTCTGACTCTTTGTGACCCCATGAATCGCAGCACGCCAGGCCTCCCTGTCCATCTCCAACTCCTGGAGCTTACTCAAACTCAAGTCCATTGAGTCTGTGATGCCATCCAACCATCTCATCCTCTCTTGTCCCCTTCTCCTCCTGCCTTCAATCTTTCCCAGCATCAGGTGGCCAAAGTATTGGAATTTCAGCTTCAGCATCAGTCCTTCCAATGAACACCCAGGAGTGATCTCCTTTAGGATGGACTCGTTGGATCTCCTTGCCATCCAAGGGACTCTCAAGACTCTTTTCCAACACCACAGTTCAAAAGCATCAATTTTTCAGCACTCAGCTTTCTTTATAGTCCAACTCACATCCACACATGACCACTGGAAAAACCATAGCCTTGACTAGAAGGACCTTTGTTGGCAAAGTAATGACTCTGCTTTTTAATATGCTGTCTAGATTGGTCATAACTTTTCTTCCAAGGAGCAAGCGTCGTTTAATTTCATGGCTGCAGTCACCATCTCCAGTGATTTTGGAGTCCCCCAAAATAAAGTCTGTTACTGTTTCCATTGTTTCCCCATCTATTTGCCATGAAGTGATGGGACCAGATTCCATGATCTTAGTTTTCTGTATGTTGAGTTTTAAGCCAACTTTTTCACTCTCCTCTTTTACTTTTATCAAGAGGCTCTTTAGTTCTCCCTTTCTGCCATAAGGGTTGCAGAGAAGGCAATGGCACCCCACTCCAGTACTCTTGCCTGGAAAATCCCATGGACGGGGGAGCCTGTAGGCTGCAGTCCATGGGGTCGCAGAGAGTCAGACATGACCGAGCGACTTCACTTTCACTTTTCACTTTCATGCATTGGAGAAGGAAATGGCAGCCCACTCCAATGTTCTTGCCTGGAGAATCCCAGGGACGGGGGAGCCTGGTGGGCTGACATCTATGGGGTCACACAGAGTTGGACACAACTGAGGCGACTTAGCAGCAGCAGCAGCCATAAGGGTGGTGATATCTGCATGTCTGAGGTTATTGACATTTCTCCCGGCAATCTTGATTCCAGCCTGTGCTTCATCCAGCCCAGCGTTTCTCATGATGTACTCTGCATATGAGTTAAATAAGCAGCATGACCCATGTATAGCCTTGACGTTCTCCTTTCCGGATTTGTAGCCTGTCTGCTGTTCCATGTCCAGTTCTAACTGTTGCTTCTTGACCTGCGCCCAGATTTCTCAGGATGCAGGTCAGGTGGTCTGGTGTTTCCATCTCTTTCAGAATTTTCTTTAGTCCTGTTCAACTCTTTGTGACCCCATGGACTGTAGCCCGCCAGGCTCCTCTGTCCATAGGATTCTCCAGTCAAGAATTCTGGAGTAGGTGGCCATTTCCTTCTCCAGAGAATTTTCCCAACGCAGGGATTGAACCAGTATCTCTTACATCTTCTGCATTGGCTGTTGGCTTCTTTACCACTAGTGCCACCTGGGAAGCCCAAATATATATTAATATATACAACTTTTATAAAATATAATTTAAAAAGAAAAAAAAATAGAAAATTTCCTGGTGGTACAGTGGTTGGGACCTTGTGTTTTCACTGATGTGGGCCCCGGGTCCATCCCTGGTTGGGGAACTAAAAGTGTACAAGCTATGCAATGCAGCAAAAAATAAATAAAAAATAAAATAAAAATTTTAAATATTAAAGTAATTTAAAAGATATATATTTTAATCATTGGCGTGAATCATAAAATCATGCAAGCTTATGGGCACAGATAAAGAAATTTATTCTTTCATATAAATTTTAGAATCATCATGTTGAGTTATATATAAAGTTCTTTAGTTATTTTAATATATTTAGGAAGCAGTTGGAGAGTTGACATTTTTTACAATATTGAACATTATTTATTTACCTCTTCTGTTATATCCCTACGTAAAATTTTATCATCCTTCACCTAATATATATTTCTCATTATTTTATTCCTAGATATTTTATTTCCAAATATTATGAGTAGTATACTGTTTTTCCTATCACATATGCTCAGTATACCAGGAAAAACAGTTATCATCATTTATCATTTGAGTACAATGGGTTCTTTAATTTTCTCTATT